TCACCCCATGTCTAAAGTAAGTTAACGAGTTAGCTGAATGCGTCCCGGGGATTCCATCAAAGCTAACAACGTACTTAGCGACCGCCACTACTTCGGCCATATCCAGCCGGTGACCGTTGAGGCTGACGATCTTGCCGGCCATCAAGATAAATCCCAGTTTTGAGGTTGCACCCAGCACGTATTTCGTGAAGTCTTGATGTTTATTTTTACCTGCGCCAGCTTCATCGACTGCTTGTTCGACCTTCAGCAGTGCGGACAGCATATCCTCAGCATGGGCTATGAGACTGCTGTTGTCAGGTGATAGGTTCGTTGGAGTGTCTGCCATCTTGACTAGATGAGTCTCTTGTAGCACTCGAAGCGTTGTTACTAGCACCGTTGATACAGAAGCGCAATTTGATGAACTGATGTTCGAACTCAGCGTATCCTTGTAAACGAAGTAGTCTGAAAGAGATGCTTGTAGAAGAAGTGTTGATGATGGTGATGGAAAGGAGATGAGAGATACGATGGCAACAGACGCGAGTTGAATCCAACACTTAGCGAGCCAGTGGACATGCTAAGCGAGATACATGGGGGTTGATATAGTGAATGCGCGCTCCCTACGCGTTCTCTACACGCGCTCTGGAAATACAGTACCATGACCCAGTGTGAACTACTCATGCTTGTGGCTTTAATGACTGACGATGGCCAGAGTAACCTCATAGTCGGCGTGAGTGGCATCTTTCCGTGTTCGTTTTCACACTTTTCCTCTGTCCGCCCTTGTTGAGGAGTGAGTCCAATACCTCAAAATGACACACCGTGAGATGATGTCTGTGATAATTGCCGCTGTCTATATTAAGCAGCAGAATACAGTGGTAGTGCTTCAGATACGCTCTTCAGGGGTTGGTGGGATTTCCCGGAACCCTCTCTGGGGTAATCTAGACTGCTCAAAGGGTAACATCACCTTTTCACACTGATGATGCACTGATATCGTGAACCCGATGTATCCAGATACACACCGAGTGAGTGGTTAGGGGATGGTGAAAAGATTCTAATTAGCTTCCTTCGAAGCTCTCGGCTATCAGTATGAGACTTTTCAGGACCTGGCAGCAGAAAGCATCCCGACTTAGAAAGAGAGTGGTGGGAAACTGAGCCCGCCAATGGTGTGACTGCCTGCCACAGGACTTCCCGCTTCAACAGCCACAACCATCCTTATGTCATCCATACACTCACCACTGCCAAGTCATATCCTGGTTATTGCTGGATCGAGAATTGGATGCTGCTCATAACAAGAAAGAAGGGTCTCCTCCGCAATCTAGACCCGGGTGTTGGTCTGTTGTTCCACGTTTCGCCTCTATTCTTCGCATCGGGGTCCTACCTCTCCTCAAAGGGATCGTTTTCCATCAATCAAATACCATGTTGGGATCTCCCTGGTAGCAACGTACGTGTTGTTCCTGGTTGTGGAGTCGAGATTGATACCGGTCAACAAGCTGGGGCTCGGGTCAACCATCATAGTTGAACCCATGATTCAGGTAGCCTTTCCGAGCCGCTGATGTGTTTACCAAACACATAGAAAGTATACCGTTGTCGGCAGTTCAGTTTTGTGTGCAACACAATTCCCAGGCGGTATCATAAGTGGAAGTTGAAGCGCAAAATGCCACCGTTATCTCTTGCAATTTCACTCATGTGTGGCATGCTGAGTAAGGACCAACTGGGTCAGAACAGACCTGATTCGATTGCCAAGGGTACGGAGCTGGAACAGCCGAACCTATCTGGAATTTAAAATATATCAGATCAGCCCGTTGCAGGAAGTTGATCTTCTATGCGAGTGGTTGTGATGGTGAATTATCGCCAGTTGGTTGCTGACTTACCATCGAATGCCTTTCCTGTACTCAGTACTCTCCAACATAAGCCACGTTAGAAGATTGGTCCTCGTTGTAGTCCAGTTTCGGGCTCCCAGGAAGATAGCATGCCTCAAGCTCATGCAACGAATCTGTATGGTGCTACAATCTGACCTTGCAGAGGAAATGGGAGCCGTGACAACAACGAAGTAGTCCTAGAGAAAATGATGCGGCTCCAAGGCAAGGCGAAGAAAGAGCATGGAGAGACAAATTCCCTTGACTTCATCACAATTGAATATCACCCTAGCAATTGCCCATGCAACAATGCGAGTGGAAACAACCGGGAGATAGACAAATTCGTGCTGGTTGGTACGCTTGGGTGTATGAACACACAGAGTGCAGGAATGAAAGGGCAAGAATTGCAAGACTACAAGCAATTAGACTTACGCGTCTGCAAAGGACCCTGGCTTCTTCCAGGGACATGTTGTTTCGGTTGGCGCACAACCTGGACCCTCTTGCCAAGCAACCCTCGTAGCATGGACGACGGAAAGCAATTCCCGGCCTTGATGATGAAATTTCCATCGCGGTAAAAGTGGCCTATGAGGACCGAATCCCGGCACACCTGCATGTTGCGACACATATGCAGGGCTATCACATACATGAATTGTTCCAGTCCTCTATTCTCCTTTGCCTGCTTGGCGAAACAGGAGAAACGTACCCTCTTGTATATTATGTCTGTGGCATACGCACGCTGAGCCTATACAGAGCGACTCCTAGATGTTTTTGATGGGTAAAAAAAATATCCGTCGGTGTGTGTCATTGTCAAGTTGCGCTGCATGCGGGATTTAGCCCCAGGGGCGGGCACTATGGTGGCCGCGTCATCTGGCAGACCAAGCCGTATTAGAGTCCGGTATGATCGATTGTGCTGCTAAGGGACACTATTCCCCAGCCTTCTTGCGATGATGGCGCTTCCTATTGACAGATGCACGGACCAATTGACAGGAAAAGGAGAAGCCCGGAAAAGCCGGATCCGACACAAAACAGTTGAAGGGAGGAAGAGGGCCCGCACCTAGGGTCTCGAGGGTGACAGAAATAGAGACACTATGGGCGTCAATTGGTTTCTAAACATAATGAAAACAACAGGCATTCCTGAGTTATACCCAGTGCGATCGTATCGCATCCTTCTCCTTTTGGCCCCTTTGACTCGCAATCATGGGAAGTCCACGAGGCCGCTGCGGGACGCCGACTCGCTCCCAATCCTTTGCCCCGGGGGTCAAATGAGCAGCAGTCCACTGCAATAGTGGGAGCCATACTGGTAAGGCCCAAGATTGAGAGTCAAGAGTCAGTTATCTGATTTCGTCAAGCCTGCCGATCGTACGGAAACCGGTAGCGACGTAGGAGTAGGTGGACCGCCAGTGAGGAGGCGACTGCGAGGGTTGCGAAGATAAAGTGAAACATCCCGATCGGATAAATGGGCCGTGCAGACGGGTGGCCAATCAGCTTCCGCAGCCCATGGGATCTGCATAGGGCCACGCCAGCTGCTCCAACGCGCTATCAAATCCAAGCCTTGAAACGAACAGATGCCACAACCAGACAGCCGTCCGTTTCATTCATAGTGGCTCGCTAGGGAGGGTGACGACTGGTCCAGACCCCATTTGTCGTCATCTTGGCCATTCCATCAATTCCAACCCTGCCATGCAGGAAACCAGGGATAGCCTAACAGACTTCCGGAATGGACAGATGCCAGAGAAGACTTCCACACTTCTCTAGAGACTCTAGGGTCCTCAGGGTCCCATCGCTGTTACTTTCGTTATTCCATGGGTCCACATCGCGGGCTCCCCCAACTTTGAAGGGGAAAGCTCTGTTCCGAGTTCCAATACAATGTTCCCAGCGAGGGGTATTATGTAAGACTTCATAACGACGAATTTTTTCTGATCGATAGGAAGTGAAAGTATAGGTATGACTATCCCCCACAGTGGTTATCACATTGTCGTGATCATAGCTTTCACGATGATCTGTAAGCGGAAGATGAATTTGCTGCACATGGAGACACTGACCACAGCTGTTGTTCTTCGAGATGGACCCACCCAAATAACGTAGAGTCAAGGACCCGCCATCGTTGGGCCCCCAAGAACACACCAGAGCGGACTAGCTTTCCGCTTAGTTGGCACTACGACCTGTCGACTGTCAGTGTCGAGAGTCGAGACTGGACTGACCCACTTACTTGGAACAGCCACAGCGGCAGGGGACAGCTTGATCGAGGACGTCAGCTCCGTTGCATGTTGGTTGTTATTGGACTGAGACTAACAACCAGTCGCATTCATCCACCGACGATCTGAGGCACTTTTTGAGGCTTTCCATATGTGTGGACTGAGTATGGTGGGTGTATGATGCGGAGAAAGGAAACCAGAAAAAGCATTACCATGGGACTCAGCCGGAACCGCAAATAGATCAACCGCCGCAGCCAGGATCAAGCCACCTCCAAGCGGCAGAGGGGCCAAGGAGAGAGAGAGGGAAGGACGAGTCAGCCATTCTGAATAGGCGATGAAGAGATGAAACGCTGGAGGGTCGGCTGGCCCGTGACGGCCTTCAGGGCGAGCCGCGCACGTGGGGCCGCCGCCACAGCGACAGCCAGCCAGAGTGACTTGTCTCTTGCCCTTTCTTCCTCTCCATCAATAGCATCTTCTACTACAACCTCACCTCTCACGGATCCAACTACCGGCTTCATGCTTAGCCGACCCACAGAAACCCAGCAGGTACGTTCAAACCCTATTTTACATCAGCCCTGCCCCTGAGCCACTCTCCCACCCCCACAAGCGCCAGGTCTGGCGATCTATGCGGTTCTTGCATCTCCAGCATAACCTGATCTATTGCTGACAGTCGACGTCTCAGATTCTGGCGGGCCGAGCTCGGTGACAACAGTGCATGACGAATGCTTGGTTCCTCTCACGCATCGCAGCAGATGGATGTAAGTGATCATCGCTGGGTCTTAGCGGCTCAGCGCTTCGAGAGTGCCATATAAAAGCGTCCCTTTTCCCACCCAGAATCATCCTTCATTCAGCTCAAATTCTCTTTCCTTTGATCTCAACTACCATTCCTTAAGAAGCTGTGCTTCGTACCTTCATTTCGCCTTCTTTTTTTCTCACTTACTACTACAAGTCCATCACTCTCTATCCTTTCAAGATGAAGTTCACCGGAATCGCTTTCGCTGGTCTTATCGGTTACGCTGCCGCCCTGCCGGCCATGGGCGCCCAGCAAGACTCTGCTCCCAATGGTGTTCAGGCCAGCGGAGCTCCCTCCTTCCAGGGTGCTGCTCCCTCCGGCTCCCCCCTTCCCCTTCCCTCGGGTGCTCCTCAGGGCCAGGGCCAGGGCTTCGGAGGACAGGGCCAGGCTCCCACCGTGAGCTTGGGCGACGCTCCTCAGCCTCCTCCCACTGGCTCCGCTGCCCCCGCTCCTTCCGGAGCTCCTCGCGGCCACAAGAGACGCCAGCTCGAGATCCCCGCTTCCGCCTCTAACGTCCCTGCCCCGACCGGCTCCGCCGCTGCTGGAGGTGACTTCGGTGGTGTCGCTCCCTCCGGTGTTGCTGGCGGCAACGGCGCTGCTCCTTCCGGTTCTTTCGGTGGTGCTGCTCCCTCTGGCGTCGCTGGTGGCAACGGCCCCTCTCCCTCTGGCTCCTTCGGTGGCCAGGCCGGCCAGTCTGGCTCTTTCGGCGGCAACGGTGCTGCTCCCTCCGGCGTTGCTGGCGGTAACGGCCCCTCTCCTTCCGGCTCTTTCGGTGGTGCCGCTCCCTCCGGTGTTGCTGGAGGCAACGGTCCTTCTCCTTCTGGCTCCTTCGGTGGCCAGCAGGGTCAGCAGGGTCAGCAGGGCCAGGGCTCCCAGTCCCAGGGCCAGTCCCAGGACTCTCAGTCTCAGGGCTCCCAGTCTGAGCGCTCCCAGTCTCAGGGATCTGACTCCCAGGGATTCGACTCCGAGGGATCTCAGGGCTCTTCCGAGCAGGGCTCCTCCTCTGAGCAGGGCTCTGGCTCCAGCTCTTTCGGTGGCAACGGTGGCGCTGCTCCCTCCGGTGTTGCTGGCGGTGACGGCCCCTCTCCTTCTGGCTCTTTCGGCGGTGCTGCTCCCTCTGGCGTCGCTGGTGGCAACGGTCCCTCCCCTTCCGGCTCTTTCGGTGGTAACGGCGCTGCTCCCTCTGGCATTGCTGGCGGCAACGGCCCCTCTCCTTCCGGCTCTTTCGGTGGCGCTGCTCCCTCCGGTGTTGCTGGCGGTGACGGCCCCTCTCCTTCTGGCTCTTTCGGCGGTGCTGCTCCCTCTGGCGTCGCTGGTGGCAACGGTCCCTCCCCTTCCGGCTCTTTCGGTGGTAACGGCGCTGCTCCCTCTGGCATTGCTGGCGGCAACGGCCCCTCTCCTTCCGGTGCTGCTCCTTCCGGCGTCGCTGGTGGTAACGGTCCCTCTCCTTCCGGTGCTGCTGGTGGTGCTCCCGCTGCCTCGGGTGCTCCCGCCGCTGCTCCCTCGGGTGCTTCCTACTAAGTCCATGCGCAATGCTTGGGCTTTGATTGACAATCGACACCTTCGAATTACCCACCTCTGATGCAATAACTCGACGAGGATATCGACAATGCCATGGTGATGGCGTGGATTGGACAATAACTGTGGATCAAGGTGTGATGGATTGGATGTTTGTACATTAATTGCTCAATAACCAGTCATTCGTTTGACCAGATCTGGTAGAAGACAGAATTTGGCTGAAACATTTTCTGATTATGTAGTTCGTAGGAACGTAGCGCTATAAATCCCGCTTTCTCTATATCATTTGCTTTTAGTCGAATGCTCTCCCTAGACAATATATATCAGGAATAAGCCCTACTAGAACATATGTTATATTCGCTGTAAAGAAGTTAGAAATTCTGGCGACACGAGCAATAACACACTCATTTGTACCAGATAGTACGTAACCGGGCATCGATACCACGAAAGGCACCGTGTAGAGATGAAATAGTATAACCAAACCATCAACAATCACTAGTGAAAGTAGGCTGGATATACCAATCAATAAAAGTTCAATTCCATTTGCTTTTAACCCTCAGTAGTAGAAAGTAGGACTGCAGTGTGTTGACTGAATCTCGCAACACAGTTCTAGAACACACATACCCTGCCTCTATCCCGAGATATATATAGTACTCCTTAGTAGTACTAGTAGTAGTAACCCCAACTTCAATATTACTTAACTGAAGTGAAATACTACTAAACCTTCCGCACCTGCCCCCCATCTATCCCTTCCACACGCCCATCATCACGACTAGAATCATCCCCCTCACTCTCACTTCTCCCACCATCCACCCCCTCGGCTTGAACCACTTTCGGCCTACTAAAACCACTCATTAGCAAACTATCCACCCACACACAAATACTCAATAAAAAAAGAATACGAAGATAAACATACCTCTTCCCCTCCCAAACCTGCAACCTCCACGTAATCACCGTCGAAATAATCAAAATAACAGACATAATCGTCACGGTAATAAACCCCTTCCGGTACTGTGGGGCATCCACCTGCTGCCACACCACCAGCGGTAACCACGCTTGAAACACGTACGCCATTTCATTCATGCTGCCGACTACGAGCGCGCGCTCTTCGTTGTCGTCGGTGCAGATTTCGTGGGCCCATCTTTACATCATTTCATCGGGTTAGTTGGGATATATGTGGGGATAGAATGGGATGGGATGGGATGGGTGTAGCGTACGCCATGCATAGTCCGCTCAGGCCATAGCCTGCGCCGGAGAGGATGTAGCAGGTCCATTTCCAGCCTGTGGGGATGTTCCAGACTGCTAGGGAGACGTAGCAGATTATGTTTATGCACTGGGTTTGGGGTGTTAGTTGTGAGTAGTGGGTATGAGTTGGGAAAGGGGGTGAGGAGGCGTACAGCTCCGATAATTATGCAGGGCCAGCGTCGGCCTTGGAGGATTGTGTCGGATGTCCCTGATGATATTATTATTAGAGGGACTTGGGTGGGTTATTTGGGGAGGGCGCGTACATGCGTAGATGAGGGTCGTGACGACCTGCACAGCGTTTGTGGTGGTCGGGTAGGCGTTGATTTGCCCAACAGAGTATACAGGGTTGGTGGAGTCTTTGAGGTATCTGCGAAGATAGCTTTAGTTGTAGTCCAGGGATATTAGAGGAGTGACGTACTGTTGAAAGACGGGCTGACTGCCTGCTGCTCCGTTGTTAAATGTACTAGGCTACTATTAGCTTGTCATGTTCATTGAGGGCGGTGCTGCCAACGCACATGTATACGATCGTGAGCAAGTAGATATGCCACGACGAAAAGATCTTTTTCAATTTGGATTTCGTGTACGGTTCTCTGTCTTTCCGTCCTTCAAATTGCATCCGTTTCTGCGCTAGCTTGACTTCCTGCTCGCTCAGATAAAACGGACTTGAGATTTCGGGGACGTCCGGCAAGATGAAGAAGCCGCTGATGGCCACTGGAATTGATATGATTCCGTCGATCAAGAAGAGCCTGTCTTGTTAGTTGATTGAGCCCAGTCGGAGCGAATTGAACATACCATTGCCAGCCCTTCAACCCTCCCCGTCCGCCGAGATGGAACACCGCGTCCATCAGGTACCCAGAGAACATACTTGCAATTCCGCTACTAGTGTGGAAGATACATGATCGCTTTGCGAGCTCGTCTTTACGATACCATGATCCGATGATGTACTGCATTCCGGGGTAGAAACTACTCTCGGCAAGGCCTGATTGCGTTAGTCGAACACAGGACAAGGAGGGAGACCTCATACCGATGAAGAAGCGCAAAACATAAAAATGCGTCGCGTTGGTACTCCGCGACAGAGCAAACGTAAGTACGGTCCATAGCAACTAGACATTGTCAGCACAGTTCCCTTATTTTAATGGACAATCATACCTCCATGGCCGGAATCCAATATCTGGGCCGTATGCGTGTCAAAAGCATGTTACTTGGGATTTCACCAATAACATAGCCCACTGTCCAGCATGCTTGCATGTAGTTGAGCTGATTGCCGTATAGACCAAGGTCTTCCTTCCTGCGATTTTGTCAATGGGGGTTGACTATGACCATGTGGTTGAGTTGTGTGACACGAACATTCCGGAAACGAAGGCATTGTTGATGTTGATTTGGTCGAGATACTTGATAAAGTAACCTTTTCCACAATATTAGCGCATTTCTTACATATTGCAGACGTCAAGAGACTGCCACCTACCAAGCGACGCAAAAGTCAAAATAGCTGAATCCAGTTTAAAGAGCAGTCTGCGCTCCTCAGGAGACTTGTCGAAAGTATCCCAGACGTAGCTAACCCATCTTCGTTTAGGCTTTGCTTGGACAATGCCACTAGATGTGTCAACAGCCCTTTCTTCAACCGTAGCTGGCGATGGAGCCATGATTGTTCCGGTCTTGATCAGGGTTCACGAAGACCGGCAGAAGGAGGCGGGGGGACACAGAGAGTACAGGGAATTTTTGACAGTCCGCTGCACGACATATTGTTTCACATGATAGTCGCAAATATTTATCCCTGCTTTAAGCTTGATAGCAAGGCTTGATGAGATGGTCTGGATGCCATATCTGATGGGCACAGGACCGCACAGACCAATGCATCATCATCCACCACATTCACGCAATATCTGCGGGGGTTTATCCTGTCAGATGTAATGATGAGGAAGAAAGATAACAAGCGTGTCTGTCGATGTGCGGGGATAGTAAAGCATGTCGGGTCCGCGAAGGATGAGTGGTTGCTCATTCATCCTCCGGAGCTCGTCATCCAGATCTCGGATGATGTGCCCTGTGCATAGGCGTGCGATGCCGGCCGGTTAAAATGTCTACGGCCCTCATGGACATGCCGATCTCGCCTGATAAGCTTGTATTTGGTGTTCTAAAGTAGTAGCAATGTCTGCGTCTAATTGTGCCATCTGCACTAAAATGCGAACTGTTCTATAGCTTGTCTAGCTGCATACCTCCAACACCGGAAGCTCCCCGATGCCGCTGTCTCGTCTCCGGCCAAGCCCCAGCAGCTTATTGGTTCTCTCCCTCTGCGCGGCTTTTGCCAGATGCCAATTGTCAGAATGGGCTTCGATCGCAGTGAGCCCATACTTGGCTCTGTATCCGTTAATCCACTCCAGCAGGTCAATCACGTAGAATTCTTCAATGTCCTTCAACGAGTGGAAGCGCTTGCCACTGCCCTTCTCCTTAATTCTACGGGCGTATTCGTCTTTCATTTCGCTCTCCGCTGGTAGCTCGGCAATTCCGGCGAAAACGTTCGCTACAGCTATCGCTTGGAATTCGAACAGCGTAAACGTCGCTGTGTAGTAAGGGACTCCCACAAATGCCAGGGTTGGATCTGGGATGTAGAAGATGTCCTTGTGCAGGTTATGCACCTGCGTCCCGTCAGTCACTAAGACTGTATCACTCGCTTTCTCCGCTGGTGTCGCATCGTCGTGATATTCCGACAGAAAAGGCAACGTGATATGGTATCCGGTACAGATGATGATCGCATCGATTCCACAGAGCGTCTGTCCTGACTTCAGGTGTACCTTGATCGGCAAAGCCTCGTCATCTGCAGCAGTCTTTGCCTCGATTTCAAATCGTTCTATCTCGCTGATTCTTGTACCATTTTCCGGAAGCACACTGGATGAGATATCGAATTCCCCGTTCCGTGTGCTTTGGTAGACTTTTTTGGCCAATGGACCGATTTCTCGAGCAAGATCCGTAGAGGACACCCCGCCTCCAATAAGCAAGACATTCTTAACATAGTGATTAGTTGTTTATTGCCTAACACGGGGACGAAAGAAGTTACGCACCTTGCCCGCGTAAGGGTTCGGGTTTCTGTACCCCTTCGAGTGAGTTATGCGCGACGGCCACTGTGCTTTCGCCTTAGACAACCCAGGGGTATCTGGAACGCGAGGCGCATGATAGTGGCCGGAAGCGACTATTACCGCGTCAAATTTCTATTAATAAAAGAATTAGTATTTTCTTCCTCCTGGAATGGTATAACTTACAGCAGTCTCCTCCTGTTCCTCCAACGTTCCTAATTGCGTGGTTTCCTTCAATGTCGACCACGTAACGTCCCACTTGCGATCCACCTTGCGCAGCCTGGTCACTCGAGCGCCGTATAACGTAACGCTTTCAGCACCAGCCTTCTTCGATGTGTCCTGGATGTACTCCTTCATCACCGTATGGCTGACAAACTCTGGCGTTCCTTCTGGCCAGGCATTAAGTTTAACCCGCATCAGCGATGTGGCCACATTGTTCTTGAGTCCATCATAGCATGGCCTGATAGTGTAAGCGATCGTACGGGAAGCAGATCAAGATACGCACCCTGGTGGAGCGTGCTCCAATGACAATGCATCAGCATGTATGCGGTCCTCGTCTCGATGTCTCTCCGAGATAGATGGCTTCATGGCGGGGTAATTCGGTTCCAGTGGTTTTCTTTCATCGTGAAGCCTGATGGAGTCGTTAGATCCCGGTTGCTCGACACACCACTGAACGAGGAGGGATTACCAAACGCCACCTGCTGCATGATTCCGTTCAAAGACAGTGACGTCGATCCCGTGCGCAAGAAGGTGGGCCGCGGAGACAACACCGCTAATGCCAGCACCGATCACGGCCACTTGCTGGATTTCACGAGTCATGGTGGTTGTTGGTTATACTGTCCCACTCACAACACAATGGTATGGCATAAGAGACATCTAGTGAGATCGAGGCGTCTGATATGTCCCTAATGAATTGCGAAGGAATATGGAGCCAGACGATATCGTTATGTTAGTCAAGTGTGGTGTAATAGCAACGCTACCAGTCGAGGACAGGCCACAGCCTGTCATATCTGAGACAGCTCGAACCGAGCTACTAGCGATAACCTAGTTCCAAGCCAGGAGGAACCTGCAGCAGCGTTTGGTACGTCTGTTGCTTATCAATAATTATGAAGAGGGGATGAGGCCATCGAATCCCTGGATGATGCTCTCCGGGGACCCCGTTAATGGATGGCCAGGCTTGTCCACTGGGATAAGCGGAGATAAGAAGTCATCGACAAGAGCATACTCAACAGAAAAGAGGGGTACAGGCGAGAGGATGCCGCGACAGCCGTTCAATCTGCCAATTCCTTGGTGGTGGGATGCAGAAGGCGCAATGATGGGTGGTGATGATGTGATCGGATCCCGTACCACGACAATGATGGTGAGGGGAAATAATCTTGGTATGCAATAAGCTCTGCATAGAAATATCACCCTAGAGCGCTGTAGAGCCGGATAAGACAGACATTATAGTCAGAGTTCATAGTTCAATTGGATCATCATGGCTCCAGCTCCTATTGACCCCAGAATAGTTGATGTTGCGGAACCTTTGAAGCAAACGCTTCCGCTTCCACCAGCATCACGAAAGCGCCTCGAGAAAGCAGGTATAGACCTGTCTGAGGGATACCCTTACAGGCCGTCTCGACCTTTGTACCTAGACGACGTCTACAAGATCCGCGATCATGACCGGGCCCACGTGGACCCAGGCACCCGCGCGGACCCAGAGAAGAAGGCACTCTTGTCTGCAGCCAAAGAGGTCATCCATCTAACCCGACACATTGGCACGGAGATCGTGGGACTGCAATTGAAAGACCTGACGGACCAGCAGAAGGATGAGCTGGGCTTGTTGATCGCTGAACGGAGCGTTGTCTTCTTCAGGGACCAGGATATCTCTCCCCAGCAGCAGAAAGAGCTTGGCGAATGGTTTGGCGAGATCGAAGTCCATGTAAGCCCACTATGCTTCTACACGTCAGTATCTAGCGGACTGACTGAGTCTCGTCCTTTTCCAGCCACAAGTTCCTCAAGTACCTGGCGTCGCCGGAGTGACAGTTATCTGGCCAGCTCTGCAGGCAACGGAGACTCCTGCTAACTTCCGTCGCCCTGGAGGAGCCTCACGTTGGCACACTGATCTCGTACATGAACGTCAGCCTGCAGGTGTAACGCATTTACATAATGACACCATCCCTAGCATCGGCGGAGACACGCTCTGGGCGAGTGGTTACGCAGCCTACGAGAAGCTGTCGCCTGCGTTTCGTAAGATGATCGATGGTAAAACTGCCATCTACCGATCCAGCCACCCGTATCTTGATCGCGCCCACCCAGAAGAAGGCCCGAAATACGTCGAGCGTGAGCATCCCCTTGTCCGCGTTCACCCTGCCACAGGTTGGAAAGCGCTATGGGTGAACCGAGCCATGACCGACCGCATTGTTGGTCTCGACAAGGCGGAAAGTGATGTTATCTTGGGGTATTTGTGCGACGTATATGAGAAGAACATTGACATCCAGGTTCGCTTCAAATGGAGCCCAGGGACAAGCGCACTATGGGATAACCGGTCAGTAACTTGCATCTTGTATGCTCACGAATATTGCTGACGTACGATAGTATTACCATCCACAATGCCAGCTGGGACTATGAAGGATCTGAGCCTAGACATGGTACCAGAGTCACGGCGCTTGCGGAGAAGCCATACTTTGATCTTAATGCTCCGACTAGAAGGGAAGCTCTGGGACTGCTTGATCGTGCTGAAAAGGAAGAGTTGGCACGAGCAAACTGAGATTGGAACAGCAACTTTCGACTATGATCAAATGTGTGGCTTTGGGCAATTGAACGCGACACTGTTTGCTACGTTTGTGATATACCGCGTGACCCCGACTCACATGATAGCATTTACCAGTCGCAATAGTCTTTACCAGGTCAAAATCACTCTGCCACATCCATTTTTTACTAAGCCTCGTTGTATTCTTCAAGTCTGCTTAGGCTCAAGCCATCTTATTTTCTAGGAGTCCATAAGTTGGGCGCAATACATACTATAGGTTGCCGTCATCATAGGTTGCTCGCAAATATACAAAGTGCTACTATCAGCTGGGCAACTGTTGCCTGCAATGGAGTGATGGCCCTATTTCGGCTTTTACGAAAGACTTGTCTACTGCGAATTGCCTAAAAATGACATACGGAGCTCAGCGATGAACACCTGACTTACTGTGAATACCAGCACTCCTTCGCGTCCAGTTTCATCCGGTCGCGCACTGGCGTTATTGATGGCTCCGTGTGGTAGGTATCCGATTCCATTGTCGGTGGCTATTGTGCCACTATCCAGTAATCCGGGCTATTTATAGTCGCAAATTATATGGTGTGGGGTGGATCTCACTTCCGTTGGAGGATATACATCCAGTGGAAAACCTCAGGCGCGTAAGCAAATGACGATGTCTCTCCTTGGGGTGCTTTAAAAGGCGTCCGGGAAACGACCGTCCAGTATTGGGCCATATGAGACAAATTATCGAAGCGCGTGGTCGAGTAGGATAGAGTGACCCAAAGGGCCCCTTTCTGCACCAGGGGTGCGAGGTGTAGCCCCAATAGCTCCACAGGAGACAACTCTATCG